AGACCCTTCCCGCCACCCTTCCCGGGCCGACGCCCTCGCCATGCTGCCCCAGCGCGACGGCGCACTGACCACCGCCGTCTCTGCTCGGACCGTGCTCCGACGGGCGGTCACCCAGAGTGGGCACGACACAGCCGTGTGGCAGCTCATCTGCCAGCCAAGGCGGGGGATCAATGGAATCCGACAACACACTCGATTTCTCCAAAAAAGGCATTTCCAAAACCAGTTCCCAGTCAGGATGGCCAAGCTCAGGGTCGCCTGCCCACGGATCCAAGCTCAGCCCGGGGTGTGTGTGTGTGTGTGTGTGGGGGGGGTGCTATTGCTATGCTATGGTTTCTCATCTCTTCTACACGAGGTAAACGCTGTGTCTGTTTTCTGAATTACCGGGGTCACACTAGCGCCCGAGCCCCTGGGAGAGCGACGCCGCAGCAGGGAGCCGCCGCAGTCCCCCCAGCTCCCGCCAGATGGCGCCCGTGCAGGGCCGGCCGGGCGCGCTCAGGGCGCCCATCGGGCTCCACGTCCACGCGTGTGCCGAGGTTTCATGTCGCAGGTTTTCCATACGGCAGTGTGGCCTGCCCACCCTCCTAGAGGCAGGAAGCGGCTGTGGGCACGAAGGGACCGGGCAGAGGGCCTGGGGACAGGAACGTTGCCTACGGTGTCTCCAGCCCCCCACCAGGCAACTCCGGACACCGGGAGGGAGGCGGGGTTGCAGACACAAACTGACAACAGCGAACATTGCTCAGAAAACACCCACTTCAACGGGACTTGTCCTTCAGCTATAAACAGTCGACCCCTAGGGCGGAAATTTGGGGTTTTAAATCTGGTAATATTGACATTATCCTGAATGGCTCATCCTGGAACAATTATGACTTGTATTCATAATTCAAGACCCGTTTTTCCACCTGCTTCCTGCCCCCTGCCTCTTCACACAACACGAAACGTGAGTCACCGCAGACTTTTGTTTTTCTAGCTTCGACGGGCCAGAGGTTCCCGTCCCTCCATTTCCCTGACTACACACGAGCACCGTGACCTGGCCCCGCTCATGATGGTCTTGATGGACAGCTCAGAGAGGTGGGGCTCGGAGGCCTGGGCGGCACAGATGTGCGGGCTTTGCTGGGCCAGACCCTCTGCTTGGCAGCGCTTCAGGCCCGGATCCCCAGCCCCCATGCCAAGCCCCGCGGAGATCCGCGTGTCCCTCTCCTCCCCCCGCCACCCCCACAGCCCATGCTGCGAGCTCTGCACCGCCCGTGCCCATTTGCTCGGTGCCGCCTCCCTCACCTGTGCGTCCGTGAGGGCGGGGACAGGTCTGCACGCCGCTGCAGCCCTGAGCGGGAAACATCCTAGGTGCTCAGTAAGCACCTGCTGAATGAGGCCTGACTTGGTGGAGGGGAGAGTCGGCTCATCCATGGGAGGGAAAAACAGGGATGGGGTGGAATGGCCTCTGTCCTGAAAGGGCGGGCATCCTGCCCACTCCCTCGCGATGCGGGAGCTCCGGGGGCGGGGCAGAGCTCAGGCAGGTATGGCACAGAAAAGCAAAGTCACTTAAACCAAGTATTCATTTTTATCAGAGACAAGCACTATTCTCGGATATAGGATGATTAGAAAAAAAATTGTCTTCTCCTCTGGGCAGAGCACAGGCGGGGGCGGGGCAGAGCCCAGGTGCCTCTCCTAAAGCGGGACAGCTGCCCAGTCCCTGGCTCCGGCCACTCTGCACTTGACAGTGCTTCCCTGCCCCGCCTCCCTGCCACACCGGAGCCCTCCCGGCTGCCTCCTGCCCCGACCCTGACTGCCTTCCCAGAGAGGCCCCGTCCCTGTCCTCACTCCCACTGGCCCCTGGATCCACACCACCAGGGACGGCTCGTTCCCACGGGCCACAGCAGACACAGCGACAGCTCCTGGCCTTGCCCGACTCGCCAAGGAGAACCAAGCTGCTGATGCCTGATTCCTTCTCTCCTACGGTGTCGCTGCCCGCCCTTTCCAGGAGAGACTGAGGATGTTCACGTGCCAGGCCAGATGTCCCCATCCAGGCGTGAGCTGCGACACTCAGCTGGGCTTGTAACTCCCTACTCCCGTCCTGCTCCATGTCCCTCTGAGCAGCCGGCCAGGTAGGCGAGTCGCCCACCCCAGCAGGCCTGACCCTGGGCATGGCCCACGCCGACTGCTTCTCCTTCCCAGGCCGGAGGACCAGAGGATGTGGACACAACTCTGCCGGCTTCTTCCCAATCGACAAGGCTGAGTACGTCCACAGACATCTCTGCTGGCCCAGCAAGCCCCGAATGCAGACACCCACCCGCTTCCGACGGCATGACCGTTAAGACTCAGAAAACAGTGACGGTGCAGCTCCTGTGAGAGGTCCTTGAGCTCTGGAAATCACCGAAGAGGGTCGGCTCGACGACAGGTGCCGGGGACGCTCCGCTCTGCCCGCAAGGTGACCAAGCGCCACCGCGACCGCGTCCCCCGGGGAGTGGCCGGGCACTCTCCGCAGACGTCTGTGAGATTCTAACTCCTGCACACAGAGGTGCCTCCAGCCTGAGGTCCCCGCCCTGTGTGAGGCGCCCAATAGGGCGGGAGCACAGACTGTCATCCGCCACCTGGGGGTGCTGACCTTTGCTCCCTAAACGTCCCTTCCACATGATAGTCAACCGATCTTGCAGACGAGCAGCTGACTCAGGGAAGGAGAGCGATCCCGCTGGTGATCTGCTCATAATGCAGTGCAGAGACCTGGCGCTGGCTGCTCGGGGCCTGTGGCCGCCTTCCGTTCAGGGGTCAGCGGGGGCAGCTCGCAGTGCACGTAGCCGGTCTCCTCAGCCAGGCCTTCCAGGGTGCGGGGGCGAGCTTTAGAACTGGGGGGGCCCTGGCCGCCCTGCACGCCCTGCTTTGGTCCTTCGATGGCGCCCGGAGAAAAAGCAAGGACGGGGGGCCCAGACCTCGCCAGCCCCCTGGGGACAGAGACCGCACCCCTGACCTGGGGCACGTTTCACGCTCCCCTCTCTGTTTACGGGCATTTGTGGAACCCACGTCAGGTGAGGAAACTTCACAAGTTTAGAAGTTTATGACAAGGAACCTGCATCCGACTTCAATCTCTTCAGTCCAAGTGACCGGCTATTTTGTGACTTTGCCACGAAGCTTGAATAAACCCAGCGTGTCGCAGACCCACGGATCCCAGCTGCACCCGAGCTGCGGCAGGAGGCGCACTTGGGGTTACGGTTCTTCGAAGTGAAGCCACAGCCTTCTGCCAACTGCGAATGCTTTTGTTTTCCCCAAAAACTAAGCATGAGAGAATATTACGCATAAGGAAGCGAACCTCTCCATCGATCTGCCGTGGAGAGTTTTTTATGCCCCCGTGGTTGAGGTTCCATCTGGCAGAGCACAGGGACACCGAGCCACCGCAGAGTGAACACTCGGCAAGGCGCAGGCCGGGCGCAGGCATGCCTGGCGAGGCCGGCAGGGCTGCTGACCGCAGCGAGCAGGGACTCCCCGCGTCCGCCAGTGCTGCCCTCCAGTCATTCAGGCGACATCGTGACATCCGTCAGAAGCGATGTGCCCCATTTTAAAATCCGAGGTGACATGATATGGAACAGCTGGACAGCCTACTCTTCCTGCTTGCTGGGTCCCGGTGAGCAACGAGTGCCTCGTGGGGTGTCTGCCACCAGCCACCCGGGCATGCTCAGGGTGCTGGTCTCCACGATGGGGCGGGAGGCTGAAATGGCGGTGAGGGCAGGTGGGCAGGGGACAGGTGTACAGAGCAGTGTCTGCAGCTGACACGGGGGCCATGTTCACTGCCCGAGAAGCAGATCCTCCAGGAAACGGTGGAGGACACTTCATACATGAGGGAAATACCAGAGCAAGCCCAGGGGTGACCGGCTCTGGTCGTGG